CGCCTAATCCCTGCAACAGCTGCCGTGAGATCCTCCTGCTTTGCAAATGGGGAGGAGGTTCAGGGAGTGCAGGCAGCTGCAGGGGGCTCCCCAGCCAGAGCCCCAGCCCAGGGCTCCCTCTCTGAAACTGCAGCGCCTGCTCCCAGCTGCTCCCCAAGTCCTGATGTCCACTGGGTCACCTTGGAGCTTTGGAGAGGGCGACTGTTGCCAGATCTGAACGAAAAGGAATTTACCGTTTCTATGATCTGATAAGATCCACTCCCACAGACAGGACAGAGAAAACCTGTGTTAAGCCAAAACTCCTGAGACTGAGAGGTTTGTGAAAGAAGAGGGCTTACTGAGCCATTGCACGTACAGGGTAGGCAGTGGTGCCAAGGGTGGGGAGCAGGTGGGAAAGTGTCTGCCGAATCTAAACAAATCAGAGTCCAGCGGGATGAAAAGCTGGGAAAAGGCACACGGGTTTCATATGGAGCTGCCACTCGCTACATCACCTCTGGATTGGGCGGGGCTGCAAGCAGGTGCAATGGCGCCCGCCCTAAGGTTCTAACAATGACATTCAAGGTTAAATGGTCCTCTGTTCTTTGAGGCTGACTGGTGGCTCCTTACTGATTAACCTCCCCCATCTCTCCTCCCTGCCAACCTCTGGCCTTTTGTAATTAATTTTAAGATATCTCAGAATTTTTTTCCTATCACCTGAAACTCCATAGCATACCATAGAATTTCTAAAAGATGATATATGGAGTCAGCGCTTCGGCGTAGCAGGTTAAGCTGCCTCCTGCGGCACCAGCATCCCATATAGGCGACAGTTTCAGTCCCTGCTGCTCCACTTCTGATCCAGCTCCCTGCTAATGCGACTGAGAAAAGCAGAAGATGGCCCAAGTGCTTGCTTGGGTCCCTGTGCCCTCATGGAAGACCTGGCTGAGTATTAGCCCAGCTCTGGCCACTGTGGTGATTTGGGAATGAAACAGTGGATGGGGGCCGGCGCCGTGGCTCAACAGGCTAATCCGCCTTGTGGCGCCGGCACACCGGGTTCTAGCCCCGGTCTGGGCGCCGGATTCTGTCCCGGTTGCCCCTCTTCCAGGCCAGCTCTCTGCTGTGGCCCGGGAGTGCAGTGGAGGATGGCCCAAGTCCTTGGGCCCTGCACCCCATGGGAGACCAGGAGAAGCACCTGGCTCCTGGCTTCGGATCAGCGTGGTGCGCCGGCTGCAGCACGCCGGCTGCGGCGGCCATTGGAGGGTGAACCAATGGCAAAAGGAAGACCTTTCTCTCTGTCTCTCTCTCTCACTGTCCACTCTGCCTGTCAAAAAAAAAAAAAAAAAAAAGAAAAAAAAAAGAAAGAAACAGTGGATGGGAGACCTTTCTCTCTACCTCTCTGTAACTCTGCCTTTCCATTAAATAAGTAATTCTTTAAAAAAAAAAAAAAGAGTAGTGGTTCTGCCACCCCTAGAAGATGGTCTAAGCCTCAGTTTTCTTAAAGAAATTAGGACAACCCTGCCGCCTGCGTGAAAGACTTCTGAGGCACTGCGGTGCGGGATGCGCGCCCAAGGTGCAGCTCCTGCCCGCTGTGGCTGTGGGTGAAGCATCTGTGGGGCCCTCGGTGTGAACGCGATCCCGCGTGATTCTTCTCCACGGCCTTGCCCAGAGGAGGAAAAGGAGAGGGAGACGAGTTTACGTTTTGTGATTCACTTACCCTAAGTCGTTCCGGGCGAGGGAGGAATCAGCGTGTGGCCTGCGGGCTGGACGGAGCTTGCTGGAAACGTCCTCCAGTGTTTGCAGCCAACGCGCTGTTCCGTCCTCCGTGTTTCTCCCTCTTCTGCCTTCAGCCCGAGCCAAGCACAGGCAGGCGCAGTCCTAGGGGAGAAGTCAGCATGAATTCAACGCGGTTGATGAATTCATGAATTTGATGTGGTCGGCATCTTCTTGCGATCCTGCTCCAAGCCAGCCTCCATCAGGGGGGAGAGTCCCAGCGCTGAGATCAGCGGGACACGGATCAGACGTTGTCAGAGGCACTCAGATCGCGGGCGAGACATCTGGACTGACCGCTGAGAGCCCTTCCGACTCCCAGGTTCCAACAGGGCCGGGGAATGTCCAGACCACAGGCTGTACAAGGCCCACCAAGTCATCTGGTCTGGCCCTGCCAAGGCAACCTCAGGCAGGACTGAGAAGAGAGACCCAGAAGAAGCGCCAGGCTCCCGGCTTCGGGTCAGCTCAGCTCTGGCCGCCGCGGCCACCTGGGGAGTGAACCAGCGGATGGACGACCTCTGTGTGTGTGCGTGTGTGTGTGTGTGTCTCTTCCTCTCTCTGTAACTCTTGTCTTTCAACTAAATAAAATAAATATTTTAAATGTTTATTTATTTATTTGATTTCATCTACTTGAAAGGTAGAGCAATAAAGAGAGACATCTAGCTAAACCAGAAGTCAGGAGCTCAGTCCTATATCAGATTTTATGCCCAACTCTGTTTTTTTTTTTTTATTTTTTAAAAAGATTTATTTATTTATTTATTTGAAGGCAGAATTACAGAGAGGTAGAGACAGAGGGAGAGCGATTTCTTTCATCTGCTGGTTCACTCCCCAGATGGCCACAATGGCTGGAGTTATACTGATCTGAAGCCAGGAGCCAGGGGCTTCTTCCAGGTCTCCAGGGTGGTTGCAGGGACCCAAGGACTTGGGCCATCTTCCGGTGCTTTCCCAGGCCATAGCAGAGAGCTGGATCAGAAGTGGAGCAGCCAGGATTAGAACCCATACGGGATGCTGGCACTGCAGGTGGTGGTTTTACCCTCTGGCCCCCAGCACTGGCCCCCAGCTCTGCTCTAGATTCCAGCTTCCTGCTAATGAGGACTCTGGGAGACAGTGGGGACAGTCCAAGTGACTGTGCTCCTGCCACCCACGTGGGAGACCTGGATGGAATTCCTGGCTCCTGGCGTTGTCCCCAGCCCAAGGCCATGGCATGTAGGGAATGGGCCAAACATTAGGAATTCTGCATATGCGTCTCTGCTTCTCAAATATATATAAGTATATATATAATTTAAAACATGAAAATATTAATGATAGTTTCAATTCCCTTTTTAACTAAGTCTTCAAACTCGGGTGTGTATTTTACACTTATAGCACACCTTGCACTAGCCACAGCTCAAGTGCTCCTAACCATTTGTGGTCAATAGCCACGTTTTAGACGGGGCAGCTCCGGAAGCAGAATTGCTAGTGTTTGCACTGACAGATATGGACTTGGCGGGCATCTTGGTGGGCCGGGTGTCTTGTAATGGCTCTCAGATCATACTAGTATGCATGAGTTACTTTTTCCCAAAATGGGTATAGTTATATCCACCTTTAAAATTGCATCAAAGGCCCGGCACTGTGGCATAGCAGGTAAAGCTACAGCCTGCAGTGCCAGCATCCTATATGGGTGCCTGTTTGGGTCCCAGCTGCTCCACTTTCGATCCAGCTCCCTGCTGTGGCCTGGGAAAGCAGTAGAAGATGGCCCGAGTCCTTGGGCCCCTGCACCCACATGGGAGACCCAGAAGAAGCTCCCGGCTCCTTTGGATCGGCGCAGCTCCGGCCGTTGCGGCCAACTGGGGAGTGAACCAGCGGATGGAAGACCTCTCTCTCGCTCTCTGCCTCTCCTTCTCTCTCTGTGTAACCTGACCTTCAAATAAATAAATAAATCTTAAAAAAAAAAAAATCCCATGGAAGAATGCGGCGGGCGTTGCGGTGCAGAGTTAGGCCGACTCTGGGAACTCCCACGTCTCACCAGATTGCCGGGGACTGAGTCTCACCTCCTCTTCTGAGCCAACTTCCTGCTATTGTGCCTGCGAGGAAGTGCTTGGGCTCTTGCCACACATGTTGGAGACCTGGGTGGAGCTGTGGCTTTTGGGCTTGTCCTGGCCCAGTCCCAGTTGTTGTGGGAATTTGGGGAGTGAATCAGAGGATGGAAGCTCTCTTCCTGTCTTTGTCTTTCCTTCTCTCTCTGTCACTCTGCCTTTCAAACACATAAAATAGCTTTAAACTATTTGAACTAGCAGATGGGAGCTCTCTCTGTCAATTTCTCTCCTTTTTCCTTGTCTTTCTCTTTGTGTGTGTATCTCTGTCTTTCAAACAAATGAAAATTTAAAAAATAGTATATTGGAAGTTCTCCGCGCTCATTTGTTTACATATTGTCTAGGGCTGGTTTTGAGCAGCACTGGCAGAGCTGAGTAGCTGCCACCGAGCTGTGATGACGCAGGGGGGTGAGCTGCCACTGAGGACGCCCACATCCTGTATCAGAGTGCTTGGGTTCAGTGCTGGCTACTCTGTGTTCCCCATCCGGCTTTCTGCGAATGCTCCTGGGACACAGCAGAGGATGGCCCAAGAGCCTGAGTTTCTGCCACCCAAATGGGAGGCCCAGAGGCCGTCCTTGTCTCCTGGATTTGGCCTGACCTATATCTGACTGTTGTGAGCATCTGGGGAGTGAGCCTGCGGGTGCCTTTCAAACAAACAAACAAACAAACAAACATTTTGCTTTGCTAAGAGATGACGCTGGCCCACCAAGACTAAAATATTTACTTTCTGGCCTTTTACGGGAAAAAGTCAGGTGACCCATGGGCTGGACGACCAACGCCCGCTATGTGGACCCGGAGGCGAGGCCCAGACACTCACGCACCTGAGCTCACACCAAGCACGACGCGGGGAGGAAAACGCTGGCTCCCCGTTAGTGTACTTTCCACTCCACTGCCACATAGAAGCAGAGAAGCAAGTTCCTCATGTTGTCGTGACAACGGCCACTTCGGGCTGTCACAGGCCTTCTCTCTGCTCTGTCACACTTGCCAACCTAGGCTCCGGATGGGCAGCGCCCTCTGCAACCTCAAGGGGGCAGCACTGGTTAGAGGACCCCGAAGTCCAACCTCTCCTCTGTGACCCCAAATACAATCAGGGTATTTTAGGTCTTGTCCTTAAAGGAAAAGAAGAATGGGTCAGGAAGGCCCGGGTGGCTTTGGATGGCGACGCAGTCATTCACACTAGGTACGTATAGGAGGATTTCAGGTTTTTATTTTTTTTAACAAATTGCCAAAGGTGAATTCAGGCACGGCAAAATTCCCCGTTTAGCCAGACTGAGAGGCACACAGGCCCTTTAGTGGCAAAGGGCTGGCACTTCAGAACAGTACCCCCATGGGTGCCTTTAGGTGTTTGAGTATGGGGTCGGGGGGAGGGGGGGCAGGACGTGGAGAGAGGGGAACTTAGCCGTCACGGAACACGAAAGGCAGCTTCAAGTAGGCGAGCGGGGCTGGGCTTCTGACCCAGATTTGACCTTGTTCTGCTCAGACGGAAGAAGATGTCCAATCATAAAGCGTGGCTCGTAGGGCTTGCAGCCTGGCATCAAAGGGGAATGCAGGACACACAATTACTGTTGGCAAAGGGTCGGCGACCCTTGAGATGGCAAACCTCCCCGGGAAGGTGCAAGATAGACTGGTGTTGCTGAGAGGGCAGGAGTCCTTTGTGGGTGTCCTCCACTGTTGTTGTTTACTGAGGCAGCCGGGGAGGAGTAGGTTAAGGTCACGTGGCACAACCCTTCAGTGCGACCCAGAGCCGGCTGCAGGAAACTCACACTGGCACACTCTCCCAAGACAGAATGCGAAAATCCCCAGAGGCAGAATGGCTGGCTTCGTGATGCGCAGTCATGCCTAGAAAAATCTGGTGGGGCTAATTAGAAAAACATACGGTACTTCCTGCTCTACAAGGAAGGGGACGGAATCGCATTACTCAGCAAATAGCGTTCCTCAGCCTGAACTTGGCGTCTGAGATGTTCTGAGAACTGAGCATTTTTTCCTCACTAATTCTGAAAGGCCCGGTACTGGGTAACAGCAGGAACCAGGCTGGTGGCCTAATTAAGCATTCCCACAATGCAATGCTTAAAAACACACGTGGGAATCCCAGTGAGTGCCTAATGTCTAATTCCTAAATGTAATCCTAAACTATTCCACTGACTTCCTGGATGAACTTGGCTAATTTTGCAATATCTTCATCTCCAGCGAGAATGATGGGAAGTGTGCAAAGGATGGCAAGAGCGATTCACTTCTCCTTGCAGATGTTCGGAGAGGACCCGAGGAGGAGAGAAACTGCCTTCAGATCTCAGTAAGCGAGTGCAGTATCGCCGGCAGCCTCCCGGACGCTCAGGAAAATGGAGATGCACTCAGATGCCAGAACCTGGGTCCAGACCAGACCTCTATTCGGGAAGTCCCCCGAGATCTATCACAGAAATAAACAGTGCGGTGGACTTGGGCGTGGCTATCTGCTAAGGAAGTAGACTCCTCAGCAGGGTGCTCATCCACGTGCTTAAGACTTCATCCTGGGGCCGGCGCTGTGGCGCAGTGGGTTAAAGCCCTGGCCTGCAGTGCCGGCATCCCATATGGGCGCCGGTTCTGGTCCCGGCTGCTCCTCTTCCGATCCAGCTCTCTGCTATGGAGACCTCTCTCTCTCTCTGCCTCTTCTCTCTCTGTGTAACTCTGACTTTCAAATAAATAAATAAATCTTAAAAAAAAAAAAAAAAAAAGACTTCATCCTGGGGCTGGCGCTGTGGGCCACAAGTTAAGCCGCCTCCTGCAACGCCAGCGTCTCCTACGAGCACCAGTTTGAGTCCTGGTTGCTCACTTCCGATCCAACTCCCTGCTAATGTACCAAGCAAAGCCCAGAAGAGGCCCCAGGTGCGCCTCCTGCATGGGAATTCTGGTTGGAGTTTCTGGCTCCTGGCTTTGGTCTGGCCCAGCCCTGGCTGTTGCAGTCATTTAGAAAGTGAACCAGCAGATGGAAGATTGCTCTCTCTCTGTCTTTTCCTCTCTCTCTGTAACTCTTTCTAATAAATAAATAAATCTTTAACAAAAAAAAAATGGCAGGTGCTCATTGAGTAGATGAAGGTGGTATGCGTGTGACTTAAGAAAATCTTTCAGGGCTGGTTGCTATGGTGCAGTGGGTTAAAGCCCTGGCCTGCAACCTACTTCCAATCCAGCTCCCTGCTAATGCACCTGGGAAAGCAGTAGAGGATGGCCCAAAACCCTGGGCCACTGCACCTGCGTGGGAGACCTGGAAGAAGCTCCTGGTTTCTGGCTTCAAGATCGGCTCAGCTCCAGCTGGGGAGTAAACCAGTGAATGGAAGATCTCTCTTTCTCTACTTCTCTCTGTAACTCTTTCAAATAAATAAATCTTTTTTTTTTTAAGATTTATTTATTTGAAAGAGTTACACAGAGAGAGAAGGAGAGACAGAGAGAAAGAGAGAGGTCTTCCATCCACTGGCTCACACCCCAATTGGTTGCAACAGCCAGATCTGTGCTGATCCAAAGCTAGGAGCTTCTTCCAGGTCTCCCATGTGGGTGCCAGGGCCCAAGGACTTGGGCCATCCTCTGCTGCTTTCCCAAGTGCATTAGCAGGGAGCTGGATTGGAAGTGGGGCAGCCGGGATTTGAACCGGCGCTCACATGGGATGCCAGCACTGCAGGCGGTGGCTTTACCTGCTACGCCACAGCTATGGCCCCAGATAAAATAAATCTTAAGCTCCTGGCTCCTGGCTTTGTATCAGTGCAGCTCCAGCCATTGCAGCTATTTGGGGAGTAAACCAGTGTATGGAAGACCTCTCTCTCTCTCTGCCTCTGCCTCTGCCTCTCTGTAACTCTGCCTTTCAAATAAATAAATAAATCTTTAAAAAAAAAATTCCTGGAGCCAGCATTGTGGCATAGGGGGAAAGTTGCCCCCCTGTGATGGCAACATCCCATATGGAGGCTACTCCACTTCTGATCCATCTCCCTGATAATGGCCTGGGGAAAGCAATGGAAGATGGCACAAGTGCTTGGGGCCCTGCCACCCACATGGGAGACCCAGAGAAAATCCCTGGCTCCTGGCTTCAGCCTGGCCCAGCCCTGGCCATTGCGGCCATCTGGGGCATGAACCAGCGGATGGAAGACCTCTCTTTATCTTTCTCTGCGTTTCCTACTCTCTCTATAACTTTGACTTTCAAATAAATAAATATTTTTAAAAAGAAAATCTTTATTTATAAAAATAAATGTATGCAAGAAAACTTCATTGTTATCTAGAAAAGTACATGCACACCTCTAATACTGTATTTACAAATTACATTCTACAAAAAAAAAGGGGGAGAAGGAAAGATAAAGAGGTAACGTAATACTCACGTGCTCAGTGCTGCAAGTGTAACTTGGGAATTTGCGACAGTCACGTAAAACTAATTGACTTAGATGATTTTCTGGCTTTTGTATACTTTTGTCAATTCCGTAACACTAAGTAATTTATGAGGCCAAACTACTTTGTGAAGGTTTGCACTCTATCCGGAGTTTCAAGCCAGCTGGTAGAATCTTTAGGTCTTAGTGTCTCCCTCCGAGGTAAAGACAAGATGCATACAGGGAGTTAAGAAACTCAGTGCACTTCACCTTCCTCCTGATACGAGCAGCTCAGATTTGAGTAGCGTTTCCCGGGTTATCAGGCAGTGGGCAATGGCTCAGCAGGTTCAGTGGGCTCCTGTGACGCCGGCACCGCTATGAGCACTTCTCCTCCAGCTCCCTGCTGATGTGCCTGGGGAGCAGCAGACGGCCCAGGTGTTTGGACCCCTGTCACCTACACGGAAGACCTAGATGAAGTTCCCGGTTTCTGGCTTTGGCCAGGGCTAGCAGCCCTACTCTGGGAGTGAGCCAGAGAATGGACAATCTCTCTCCTTTTCGCCCTGTCTCTCCCTTCCTCTCTGTAATTCTGCCTTTCAAATAAATAAATTAATGTTTAAAAAAATTTTAAAGCACTTTACACATATTATCTCATTTGATTTGATCTTCTGAATAACCATATGGGATAGTTATAGTGTATGTAGTATAATTAATGGATTAATTTGTAAACTTAATCAACAAATATGTATTTTTTAAAGACTTTATGTATTTATTTGAAAGGGAGAGAGAGAGAGAGAGAGAGAGGAGAGAGAGATCTTCCACCACTGGTTTGCTCCCCAAATGGTTGTAGCAGCCATGGCTGGCACCAGGTCAAAGCCAGGAACCAGGTCTCCCACCTGAGTGTCAGGGACTCAAGTCCTGACGTCACCATCCACCTTCCCAGGCACGTTAGCGGGAGCTGGACTGGCAGTGGAGTAGCCGGCCCCCTAACAGCACTCCACACGGAATGCAGGCATCCCGCGCGGCAGCTTAGCCCCCTGCACACAGTGTCCCGCCCTCAGTGAATGTTTATTGAGCAACTACTATTTGCCCGGCACTTGTCTAGATGCTGACCATCCTGTGGGAGACAGAATACACCAAGACTCCACCAGAGACGTTTATGTAACTTGCCTGGGAACACGGAATGTGGATCCAAATCCTTCTGACGGGTGCACTGTATTATTATTTCTATCTTAAGCAGGAAAAATGAGGCATAGATAATTACCTCGCCTCAGTCTCTTAGCGAATGGGTGGCACTTCTTGCGCGGACTTGTTCCACCACATCTGCTTGCCAGCATTTGTTTTCGTGCCCGTGTCCTCCAGCCCTTTCCTGCAGGGACTCTTTATACCCCGTCTGGAGCCAAGTCTTCCACTTACACAGCCCTCTCCCCTACTTAAGGACGCAGGTCGTCTGGTCGATTCTTCCATCTGTTCCCACTCACACTGGTCCCCTACCCTATGAGTGGTGTTGTACAGAAGCACTGTGAATTCCTTCCACCTTAAAATTAACTTCACGTGATCATATTTTCCCCAACTACTCATCCCTTGCCAGCTACGCCTCCATTTTTTCTGATCTCTTTTTGCAGCAAATTCCTCCCACTCAAGTGTTTATTGAACAAATGCAGAATGAACAGAATGTTTAGCATAAAGATAAGCAAATTCAAATAGTCAGAGGACTTATTACAAAAAAACAAAAGGGCAAAAGCTGGTTCTGGGTTTCTCCAAAAGGCAGAATATAATCAGTACGATATTTGTACAAATAGTTTCAATTCCCCAATATAGCTGATATCACACTTTCTTTTTTTTAATTATTTTTTTTTTGACAGGCAGAGTGGACAGTGAGAGAGAGAGACAGAGAGAAACTGACATCACACTTTCTTATCTTTTGACAGGAGATGTAAATCTTTTAGAAATCTAGGATTTCTCCTGGGTATCTAAAGAAGTTGAGTTGTTACGACACAGCTGCTGCTGCCAGCCGCGATGCGCTCAGACCATCGGAAACACATTTATCGTCAGCAGCCTCCCTGGTTAAAGAAGTGCTCTTGGAGTTAGCGTTGAGACACAGAGCGGCGAGCCGCCTCTTAGGACAACTGCCTCCCATCCTGGAACGCCTGTCAAGTCCCAGCGAGTCCCCTGCAGCTTCCTGCGATGTCACCGAAAGGCAACGCATCATGGACCCAAGAACTTAGGGTTCCTGGCTTTGGCCCGGCCTAGCCCCATCTGTTGTGGGCTTTGGGGGAGTAAACTAGTAGATGGAAGATCTCACACGCTCTCTCTTTCTCTCTGTAACTGCTTTTATAGATAAAGAAATGAGAGAGAGAGAGAGAGAGAGAGAGAGAGAGAGAGAGAGAGAGAGAGAGAATATGGCAATGCATTGAAATTTTGACTTCTTTATTTATCAGTATACAGAATTCTGAAGGTGGAGATTTGACCCAGACTGTTCAATTTGTTTTTAAATAGAGCACATAGCTAACAGTCATCAGTGGGGATTGGAGGAACCAGAGCAGGCTCCAACATGGGGAAAGAGAACTGGTTATGAGGAAAAATAATGCAATAATCCTCGGGTATTACCATTCTGTGACAGAATAAGTTTGACTTTATTTTTTTAAAGATGTATTTATTTATTCGAAAGGCAAGAGGTTGGAACTCCATCTGGATCTCCCGCACGGTGGCAGGGGCCTGAGTACTTGGGCCATCACAGGCGGCTTTCCCAGGCACATCAGCAGGGAGCTGGATCGGAAGCAGAGCAGCCAGGACTCAAACCAGGGCTGTCACAGGATGCTGGCGTTGCAGGCAACAGCTTATCTTCCATCCGCTGGTTCACTCCCCAAATGGCCACAAAGGCTGGAGCTGGGCGGGTCCAAAGCCAGGAGCCAGGAGCTTCTTCTGGGTCTCCTACATGGGTGCAGGGGCCCAAGGACTCAGGTCATCTTCTGTTGCTCTCCCATTGCTTTTCCAGGTGCATTAGCAGGGAGCTGGATCAGAAGTGGAGCAACTGGGACTCAAACTGGCACCCATATGGGATGGCAGCGTTGCAGGCAGAGGCTTTGCCTGCTACACCACAATGCCAGCCCCAGAAATTTTGGCTATTCATGTCACCAGGGAACAGATACAAGGCTAGAAGGAGACCATGTCCTGAGAGTGTAACAATTCCTCCTGAAGCCTTCAGGTTTTGAGTTCCAAGTTCTTGCCTTGTTCCAGAAACATTGAAGCTGGAGGTACGTCCCCACGTCAGGATCCTTGGCATCTTTGCTTCCAAGCCGCACTGTCAGAGCTTTCCAAAGATCAGAATCCCTGAGCTTTTTCTTTAGTTCATTCCACTCAAATGATTGTGCCATTACTGCACCAAAGCAGCTCTTGTCAAGGCCACCAGTGACCTCTCCATTGCTAAACGCAGCCCTCACTTCTCGGCCTCAGCCGAGTCTCTCAGTAGAATGCCAGCTGCTCAGGCACTCTGCTCATTTTCTTCTTTGACGTCCTGGACAGGCCCCTCACTCCTGCTCCTGCTCCTGCTCTGACTTCCTAAGGGGGCAGCGTCCCAGAGCTTCCTTCATTCGCATTCCTTCTATGCCTGCATTGGTGAGCTCTCACCCAGTTTCAGGCATTAAAGGCTAGTTACAGACGGACATCTGCCCAACACACACACACACACACACACACACACACACACGGAGCTTGAACAAGTTTTTGGAAATGGAATTAAAAGGTAAGAGTTTTGGGGTTGGCATTGTGGCATGACAGGTTAAGCCATATCCTGCAACCAGTCCCACATGGGCATTGATTCAAGTCCTGGCTGCTCCTCTTTTTTTTTTTTTTTTCAAAGTCAGAGTTACACACAGAGAGAAGGAGAGGCAGAGAGAGAGAGAGGTCTCCCACCAGCTGGTTCACTCCCCAGTTGGCCACAACGGCTGGAGCTGCGCCAATCTGAAGCCAGGAGCTCAGCCCTGGCCATCAGGGCCACTTGAGGAGAAAACTACCCTCTTTCTCTCTCTTTCAAATAAACAGATCTTTTTTTATGTAAAGAAGATACATATATAAAAATATGTATCTTCAGAACATCATCCAAAACTCAAGACCTATATATCCAACAGACTACTTCATATCTGCATTTGATTATCTAATATACATCTGAAACTACACATGCCCAAACTGAAATCCTACCGCTCCCCTGTGAAATTGTTCTACCCAGTCTATCCTGGAAGTCCTGAAAGGCAACTCTATTTTATTTCTTCTTCTTTTTTTTTTAACTATTTATTTACTTGAAAGACAGAGTAACAGAGAGGGAAAGACAGGGAGAGGAAGAGATTTTCCATCTTTGGTTCACACCCCACATGGCCATGGCTGGGCCAGAGAGAAGCCAAGAGCCAGGAACTCCATCTGGGTCTCCCACGTGGGTGGCAGGGGCCCAAGCACCTGGGCCATCTTCAGCTGTTTTCCCTGGGTCATTAGTAGGGAACTGGGTTGGAAGCTGAGCATCTGGGACTCTGGGATACCAGTGTCACAAGTGGAAGCCTAACCTGCTATACCATCACACTGGCCCCTGAAACTCTTTCCAGTTGTCCAGGTCAAAAAACAACCCATCAGAAAGTTCTCCTGGATTTACTTTCAAAATATATCCAGGGGGCCAGCTATGGTGTAGTGGGTAAAGCCGCAGCCTGCAGTGCCAGCATCCCATGTGGGCACCAGTTCAAGTCCCAGCTGTTCCACTCCCGATCCAGCTCTCTGCTGTGGCCTGGGAAAGCAGTAGGAGAAGGCCCAGGTCCTTGGGCCCCTGCACACAAGTGGGAGAACCAGAAGCTCCTGGCTTCAGATCGGCACAGCTCCAGCCGCTGTGGCCATCTGGGGATTGAACCAGCGGCTGAAAGACTCTCCCTCTCTCTCTCTACTTCGGTCTCTTTATTACTTTGTCTTTCAAATAAATAAATGGATCTTAAAAAATTTTAAAAAATCACAATATGTCCAGGACCTGTGGATCATTAGAGCCACCCTCACCTCTCACTTGGATCTGAGATAGCCTATCCACTGGCTCCTGCTCCAAATTTTGGCCTCTTATTCTCAATACTTCTGGAACAATCCTTCTAAAACCTAAGCTGTAACATGCAACATTTCCATGGCAATTAAAAGCCACAAAAGCCAGAGTGCACCTCTTTCAGCCCACCAGGTTCTATAGATCAGCTCCCCACATCCCGTGTCTCTTTGATGTTCGTCATATCCTACGCTTTCCCTTTCTCTCATTCTGTCTGCAGCCTCTCGGATAGATTTCCTGCTGTTTGTGCCAGTCATGCTCCTCCTGAGGGCTCTGCCTGGTAACTCTTTCCGGGTTATCCATATGATTTGCTCCCTTAGCTCCTGCAAGTCTTCACTCATAAACAGCTCTTCTTTTTAATGGCATTTTCCCAACTGACACATAAATTATATATATCAAGTGCTTTTTAAAAAAGTTTTCAGATTATTCTATACACATTTTTATTTATTTTTATTTAATCTGAAAGGCACAGAGAAACAGAGATCTTCCACTCACTGGTTCACTCCTCTGATGTCCACAACAGCCGTGGGTGGGCCAGGCGAAGAAGCCAGGGGCCCAGAAATCAATCTGGGTCTCCCGTGTGGATGGAAGGGACCCAAGTGTCTGAGCTGTTATTTGCTGCCTCCCAGGAAGCTCATTGGCAGGAAGCTGGATCGGAAGGAGAGGAAGAGCCAGGACACCAGGTGCTCCAGATATGGGAAGGGGCATCCCAAACCGCAAGCACCTGCCCTCCCCATGTGACATTTTGACACCTGCATAGACTGTGCACTATCTCCTTAACGAAACGCTGGCCACCTCGAGGATGGTCATCACTTACCTTCTATTCTTTAATTGCGCTATTATATTTATCGTCTGTACCCCTCCCCCCTACTATGAGAACAAGGATCTTATTTGGATATATAATACGAAATATGATATATCCAAGCACTTGGAATAGGATCTGGCTCAGGCTGTTAGGTAGGAAGTCAGAAATTGAGCCCATGTGTGTGTAAGATGGGCCTGAAGACCAGCACCTGCTGCGGAGGCTCCAGAAGCCCAGCATCCCTGCCCAGACCCGGATGACCTCCCAGGTGGTCCCAGCCCTGCCCCCACAGAAAGCTCCCAGGAGAATTCTCTCTCCTCAGGACCAAAGGGGTTACCTGATAACATGGGGCAATAAAACCTTCTCAGATGCCCCAAGGGAAGCCCCCCTACTCTACCAGGCACCAGCAAATCTGGGGAGGAATTTGCTAACTTTCACCCAGTCCTTCAGCCAGGACTCCCCATCCTTTGTCCAGGAGAGGGGGAGGTTGGTAAACAAACTCCCTTAAAAATCTAGGGAGCCTAGGGGGCTGAGGCTGTGGCTTAGTGGGTAAAGATGCCACCTGCAGTGCTGGCATCCCATGTGGGTGCCGGTTCGAGATCCACCTGCTCCTCTTCCGATCCAGCTCTCTGCTATGGCCTGGGAAAGCAGTAGAAGATGGCCCAAGTCCTTGGGCTCCTGCACCCTTGTGGGAGACCCGGAAGAAGCTCCTGGCTCCTGGCTTTAAGGATGACCATTTGTGTTCCGGCAGCGAAATCGGACAAGACCCCCTAAAATTCACACTGAAATGTGGCCCCTTAAAGTTCCCTAAAAATGCCATCCAGGGTGCCACATGTACTACTGAAATTTGGGGTGCCTTACGATTTCACCACGGGCTTATTACTAAATCCCCGATATTAAGAATTCTAAATACCAGCACAGATAAACGAGGCAGCATGGTACGTTTTAAGCTTTTATTAGTGAGAAAGATGCATAGGAGAGTGAGAGCTTATTTGGGAGAGAGAGGTGAATAGGGGTTCATACCAAGCACCAGGAACCAGCTACGTGGGAGAGCATCTAGGCCTGTATCTGGGCCAGGAAGCCTAGAGCACATGGCCCGAAGGCCGTGCGCCCTGGAGGCGCGGGGCTATGCAAGCCCCCTCCTGACAAGAGGCCAGGGAAGAAGAGCGGGGCGGGCCACACCGGGGCGGGCCACACCGTGTCAGGCTTTTAACCCACTTCCAAAGGGGAGTGGGTAATTAACCTGATTGGCTGGTGGGCACCCAGGTGTAGCCAGGTAGGAGCATGAGGCCACACAGGGGCGTGGCAAATCTGATCAATTTTAACCTGTATGCCTGTCCACTTCATTCTCCCCTCAGAGACTCCAGACCTTAATCTTGAGGGGATGTTGAGAGCTCAAGTCACCATCTTCTGTAGCTACTTCCTGCTGATTAGGGTGCAGACCCTGCCTGTTCTCGGTCTGGAAGTCTCTGCCTATCTCTTCTAATGAGTTCACTTCACGAGCTGGATCTCTCAGTCACCGCCATCCTCAGTGCCTCCTGCATGGTCATCATTACTCTCAGAAGCTGCTGGGTTCTGCTGGGTTTAGATATAAACGAAGGCCCATTGTCACTCTGGAGGGACCGTGGGATTCCAAAGTGTGGCACGATGTCTCTCAACACGGCTTTAAACACCTCGTGTGCTTTCTCCATTCAGGTCAGAAAGGCCTCTATCCATCCTGTAAAAGTATCAATAAAGACTAGCAGGCACCTATAATTGCTTGTTGGGGGCATATTGGTAAAATCAACCTGCCAATCTTCAGCTGTCTATGTTCCCTCCTCTGCACAGGTGTCAACAGGGGAGGTGGCCTTATGCGGTGAGGGTTATTCTGCAAACATAGAGGCCAAGAGCGAGTCATTTCCTTTATGACCGTATTTAGTCCCTTGCCTCCAAACGCTCAGGAGACCAGCTGTACTAAGGCATCTCTTCCCAAGTGGGTAGAGTTGTGTATCTCCTTTATTATTTTCCATTGAGTGGCCACTGGTAGCATAATTCTATGGTTTGGCATCCACCATCCATTTGCATAGCCTCGCTGTTGGGCCCATTCATCCTCAGACTCCGTACAGTGAGATTCCTTAACCACTTCCACAGACTGAGGTATAAGGGCCATTTCCAAACTCTCCTGTGTAGCTGCTCCACCTGCTACCGCATTTCCCTGGTTAACATAATTGTCTCCCTCTGATGTCCCTTGCAGTGGATGACGGCCACTTCTAAAGGCTCCAGTACTGCCTGGAGTAGAGCCAGCGTCTCTTTTCCATATTTAACAGGGGAACTCTTTGCAGTCAGCAAGCCCCTCTCTTTCCAGATTGCTGCGTGTGCATGTAACACAAGGAAAGCATATTTACAATCTGTATATATATTAACTTGCTAACCTGTTCCCAGTTGCAAAGCCCTAGTCAATGCAGTAAGCTGTGCCTTTCGGGCTGAAGTATTGTGTGGTAGCGCTTCGGCTGCTATTGTCTGTCTGTCTAACTCCTTCCTTCAGGTAGCTGCTGCCATCAGAAAACGTTCAGCATCTGGATTTTCCAGGGGCTCATCTCGCAGGTCTGGCCCACTAGAGCACACCTGCCTACTTCAGCAGTACAAACAGGGTTGAGAGCCCGCAGTATTTTTCACTTTTAGTCTGTGTTTCCGTCTTCCTAAGAAGCGTGTTGCAGGCTGCAGGGGTTCGTCCCTGAACTGCAGCACTTCTGGAGCGCAGGGAAGCGCTCACAACCCTCTCAGAGCGAGGGCTCTGCCTCCGCCTCCAAGGGGAGAGAGCGATCACAGCGTGTGGGAGCACTCCCTGCTGCCAGATTCCCAAGGACTTCCCCTATTACTCACGTTTCCAGGAGAGTTCATTTATTTTTACCAGGAAAAGGTTATATTTGTTAAATTCTTCCTCTGCCAGAACCTGGCAATGAAAAGCAGTCCCTTTCTGGAGCAATGGAAAGAATTTCTGGTATTCCTATCTATTGTCTAGAAAAGCCACACACAAATTTCCCCACATGCCAAAAAATAAACCAATCCAAAGGCAGGAGACAGAGGGGCCAAGCACACACCATTTCTACTCTGCGCTGGGCTAAGGAACAGGGTACAATCCCAGGCTTTGGTTAACAGCTACCTTCTTTTAAAGGAACACAAACGTGTTTCAAATTAATTCAGATACCTCATTTTTAGAACACAGAATAACTGCAGGAACAATGAACTGGCTCTTCCGGAATTCAGTCCTCTTAGGCCTGACACACTCAGAAGAGATGAAGGGCTGCGTAGACAAAGCCTCTGCGGCCTGGGGCAGATGACGACATGCTAGGGATTCAAAACCTGCTTATTTGGACATGGCTGTCTGCACAGTCAAGTTCACCTGTTCAACAATCGTTGGGCTTTTTGGTTTAGGAAGCTGGAAGACGTTTTGAGCTGGCGTTGGCAGCGGACGTTAGTTGTTATCCCGGATTTCTGTTCAACTGGTTTGCTCTGTGTGCCACTTGTCATCAGGGAGGTGTCAGCAGTGCGCAGCTCTCCAAAAACTAAGATTGACACCATTGTGTTCAACAAAGGGTGGGCTTTTTGTGCTGAAGGTAAGGGTTAAGGTATGCGGATCTATGCGTTTAAAAAGCAAAAACAAACCATGGGTCAGAATTGTTTACACAGATCCTTTTAGTCTATAAATAAGTACTGGGCAATCATTCTCTTGAATTTCAACTGCCCTAACGAGGGGCTTACATTTTTTGCCTGTATTAATAACACAGCCTAAGTTCTCAGTAAAACTTACAGTATCATATTGTTTTATTCTGGAGTTACAGGCAAAAAAATAAACAGCATTAAAGAAATACTATGTTTTGCTTTCAGGGCTGAGAATCAGATCGGAAGGTGTTTCCTTACTGTCTCCAGGCAGACCTGGGTCTTTAGTGGGGGTTTTGTGGGTGACCGAGCGAGGGAGCTAGCCTAGCCTCCAGGTCCACCTTGGCCCTCAGCATTTACACTTTTCTGTCTAATCCGCGATTCCTGCAGGGTCATCTTGAGCTGCTACAGACCTTGAACTCCAGCCAACCTCCAAGCCGAGGCGCAGCGGGCAGGAGGACCGGTGACAGGGCCGGCATCTGTATGTGTGTCTGAACTGCCCACTAATGAAGCAAGTCTTTTTTTTTTTAAAGCAAATATATATATATATATATATATATATATATATATACACCAGGTTTCATTAGTTCCACTGCCAAAAAAAATTTTTTTTAAACAGATTTACAGAGCCTTGGGCATAAACACTTAGCAGTGTTCTTAGTTATAATGTAACCAAAAATGAGCAACCTAAAATCTTCTGGTTTTCACTTGGAAACCGTCACATCCTATGGGTTCCCTCCGCACCGGTATTTGGCGTCAGCTGTCATACGGCTGCACGACCCCTCATACAGGCAGTACACCGCCCCTGGGACTCTACCGGCAGAAAACAAGACGAGGGCGGCCGAGTCGGCTGCTTCCCGCGGAGTCAAGCGGCGGGAAGAAACAACATCCACAGAAACGCCTCCCCTACCCGCGAGGCCGGGAGGCAAACTTAGCAACAATGCTCCTGGGTTTCCTGGCTTGAGACTCCGTGTAACTGTTTCCCTCGCAATCAGAGAGACAATAGCTCTTTCCGGATCTGACCCGACGCGGGGAGGCACAGCCTAGGTTTTATTGAGCCGATTTATTTACACCCTGAGCGCATTCTAAGCAAGAAAAGTGAGCGGAATCCGGTGTTCCCGGCACAGAAACAAGACGCTCCGATCCACCGTGGAGGCTCATGGCGCAGATACAAATAATGGGCTGTGAAATATCATCTGGAAATAGTCGCTCGGCGTGCTCAGGGGCTGGCCAATGAAGAGCGACCTCTCGGCTCGCCCACGCCCGCCAGCACATCAAAGGGACAACACCTTTTTTCCTTTTTTTTTTTTTTAAAGCGACCGAGCTCGGGGCTCCGCCGGCCGAGAGCCCAGGGCCCAGGGGCGCCCTCAAGGGCACGCGCGGCCGCTCCGCGGGGCTCCACACACAGCTTCCCACGGCGCAGTTCCAAGCTCCCCCTCGTCAAGCGTTTCCCGCGCGCACCGTGCGCAAGGGCGGAGAGGGCGAGGGGCGCTCGTGGGCCTGGCCCTGCCCGGCGGCCGAGCGCAGCACGCACCCCCGGCTCGCCTGCGAGGTGCGTGCCGGGGACCCGCAGGCCGAGAACAAAGGGGACGCGCCCGCCCGCTCGGCGCGGGCACGCGCGCGCCCCTTCCCCCCTCCCCGCCGCGCGAAATGGCGGCCGCGCCACAAAATGGCAGCCGGCGAGGCGCGGAGCGGGCCAGACCCCTCCCCTCCGCAGGGCGATGCGAGCGTCCACGCCGCTCAGCACCGCGGTCGGGACCCCCGGCGGCCGGCCGCGTCCCGAGCCCGCCACGACGCCGCCTTTGTGCGGGTGCGGTGCCTCTGCTCTCCCGTCCGCGAGGCTTTTTGACTCAAAGCACCGAACTGCGTCCACCCGTCGGGCGACCCCCGCCCAGGACGCCCCTCGGGCCGGGCGCGCCCGCAGCGTTAGCTCCAGCTCGACCAAGTGAAGACGGGACCGGGGGGCTCAGCGGGCCGCTGCCCGACGCGGGGAACGCCAGGGGCAAGGCGCCCTACACGCCCCACGCCCGTGCTTCGGCGGCCACGCTGCGTCCTAACGTACTGAGCCCACTCGGGAGGGCAGCGAGGAGCCGGGCCCGCGCGCGCGGGCGGCTCCAGAGGGCGGGTTTCGGCTCTCGTTCCACTTGCAAACTTCCAGCGAGCGCTCTAGGCTTCCCATCGCTTCCCCGCGCCCTCTCCGCGCTCCTCGTCGTGAGGCCGCCCGGGGGCTGCGCACAGGCAGAGGAAGGAGCCGTCCCCGTGCTGTGTCCCCCCAGCGCGAGGGTCTCGGCGGGCGGGCGGGCGCGCGCTTCGCCTTGGCCAGGGCTCCGTGGCTGGAAGCAGGGCGCCCGTGATGCGCTTTGCATTTCTCGCCGGCTTTCACAAACGGTTGTTTCCCTGCGCGCCCCATCCCCCAGCTTTCCTTTGGCTCCGTCTTTCCAGAAACTTCTTGGGGTAAACTCAGCAAAAAGCGACGGGCTCCGCCACCGCCTCCCTCCCAGCGCATGCGCGGTGGGCGGGGCGGGGTGGGCCCCTTGGCGCGGGCGCGCGTCAGTGGGAGAGTGGGGTGTGCGCGCGCGTTCGCCGAGGGAGGGCGGGTCTCTCTCACAATGCAGGGAACAGGTTTCCCCATCCCCCACCGTTCCGTGGTCGCGCAAGCGCGTTGGGGGCACTCCCTTGGCCTTTGCGCCAACGGGGAAGGCGTGGGCCGCGAGGAGTCGCTCCGCGCGCCTGCGTGCTGGGCCGCCTCGGCTCTGCCGCACCCCTCGTAGCGTAGCTGAGGTGAAGCGACCCGGGGTGGCCGGCCTGTGTCGTACCCGCTGGTTTCCCCGTTGCCGCTCGTGGAACTCCAGCCCCTCGAGAGATTTTGCTTCTGTGCCACGGGGTTACTGGAGACAGGCCTTCTCTTTGTGCCGAGGGGCCGAGGTCGAGCCGTGTGTCTCGCCGGCCGGCCTGGCGCTCCCGCGCCATGTTGGGAACGGCTCCTGACGATTCGGTGACGGGAGTGCGGGTGGAGCCGTCTCCAAACGTGGAAACCGCCCCGACCGAAAGACTGGGTGGTGCCCGGGCCGCCAGTCGCCGCCTGGACTTACTCCTCACTGCGTTTAAAATAGATGAATAAATGAAAGAGGTGGCTGGAGGGCGGCCCTGGGCGCCCGGCGCGGCGCGCGTCGCGGGTGTAGACGGGGCCTGGGCGGACAGCCCCCGGCGCCCTTCGCAGAGTCGGGGGTGGGCTAGTGGTAACCATGGTGACCACGGTGGCTCGCTCTTACGTGCCTTTTTCTTTAGGAATGTGGGGGAAATTGCTGCCGGGGGTTGTGGGTTCTTAAAAATAAGAAAAAGAAAAAAGGCGCCTCGCCCGCACGCAGCCCCGCGTTTGAACGCCCGCCCCGCCGGGCGCCCTCTGCACGGGCCTCCCCGGACGCGCTGTCCCGCGAGCCTGGGGCGTGCGGCCTAACGGGGGGCGCTGGGCGCGTGCGTGGCCTTGGGGGTCTCGAGCCGCCTGGTGGCCCCGCCGTCGGCGGGCAGGTGCTGGCGCACCGCCGCCCGAGGCTGCCCGAGGTCAGGCCTGGGCGGAGCCACCGGCCGCGGAGAAGGGCCTCTGCGGTGGGAATTCTGAGTTGGGGCCAGATTCCCAGCAGGCGCTCTAGATAAGTAAAAACCGGAGATTCTCTCCCGGCTAGCAGTGCTGTGATTTGAAGCGCAGAAATGCTGATTCTGTCTTAGCATGAATTACGGTTCTTAGAGGCTTTAGCTTCGGAGCCGTGGTAAGGATAACGCTGCTAAGTAAGGGGAACGAAACAGCCATAATAACAAAGTCCTTGCACACTAATAATTAGGATCCCTTGGGAACGAATATTAACGGGAGCAACATGTTTAAGTTGAGAACTAAGAGGGACAAAATTATGTTGGTTTAAAGCCACTTTTTTGGATAATTTTTTATATAAAAAGGTGTGTATTTGTGCATTTATAACATGCGGAGTGGGGGAACACAAGCTCACTTTATTGTTTTTATTTTTTTTAAGATTTATTTATTTATTTGAAAGGCAGAGTTAGAGAGGCAGAGGTAGAGGTAGAGGCAGAGAGAGAGAGGTCTTCCATTCCCCCAAATGGCTACAATAGCCAGAGCTGGGCCAGACCATAGCCAGGAGCCTGGAGCCTCGGCTGGGTTCTTGACACAGGTGTAGGGGCCCAAGCACTTGGGCCATCTTCCACTGCCTTTCCAGGCCATAGCAGAGAGCTGGCTAGAAGTGAAGCAGCCGGGATTCGAACAGGTGTCCACGTGGATGCTGGCGCCCAGGAGTTGGCTCCACAGCTACACCCCCGCCCCAGAATCTCACGTTATTACTTCACCCCACCCAACCTCCTGCCAGATAAACTAAACAGTACAGTCTTATTACTATTACTGGGCCTGTTTTAGTCCCTAAAAAACTATTTTAAGTTATTCTAGCATCTTCAAAGAAAGTTGTCTCTCATTTCAGCCAAAACATTTTCCAAATATAGGTGGATGGTTGCCAAGACTTTTGTACTATATGGCATGAAAAAATTTCTGTCTATATCTCCTCTGTGAAAGTACTGGAATTTAACTTAAAAAATTTTTTTTAAGTTTATTTGAAAAGTAGAGAGATACAGACATATCTTCCACCCACTGTTCATTCACCACATGCCCACCACAGCTGGGCCTCTGTCCGGGGGAAGGCAGGCAGAACACTCGCAGGAGTCTCCAGTCTGCAGCCCGTCTGCGTGGAGGGAACCACCAGCCATTACCTGGTGCGAGTTAGCAGGAAGCTGGCAAGGAGAGCGGAGCCAGGACTGAAGCCCAGGCACTCAGATCCAGGGCGGGCATCCCAGGCAGCTTTCAACTGCTGCACTAAATGCCCACCCCCCTCCTGAATTTGATATTTTTAATGAAGAATTATTTATTTTAAGGGCAGAGTGAAACAGAGAGAGAGAGACAGAGCAAGAGCTCTTCCATCTGCTGGTTCACTCCCCAAATGGCCACAATGGCCAGGGCTGGGCCAGGCCAAGAGCTTCATGGATGAAGCATAATTTTTATGAAGCATAATCTTTATTCTTTACATTCTGCTTCTTGATATTTTAAGTCCCAGTCTCCTAGATCTGGGTGTTTTTTGCAAATATATATCACAATTGGTGAAGAGGTTAAATTAAAATTTTTTTTTAAATTTTAAATTATGAATTAGTTTCTAACAGATTCAATGTGCTTTGTAGAGGTTACTTTTTTTAAAAATAGGGATTAGCAATAGGATCTGAAAAGATTGATATGAAATCTCTGAATTAACAGAGTAATAATAACCTTTCATTTGCATAGGCTGTGTTAACATACATGTTAATTTGATACAGTCAATTGTTAACATTTCAGAGAACCCTTAACTAAAGTTACCTGGAAGCTGATTACCAAGTCATTTTTAAATAACTTTTTCTCTTTTTAAGTTATTTATTTATTTATATTTGAAAGGCACAGTTACAGAAAGAGAGAGAGAAATCTTTTATCTGCTGGTTCATTTCCCAAATGGCCATGGGTAGGCCAGGCCAAAGCTAGGAGCCAGGAGCCCCCTTCGGGTCTCCCACATGTGTGCAGGGGCCCAAAGACTTAGGCCATCTTCTGTCTTACAGAGGCCATTAGTTGGGAGCTGGAATGGAAGTGGAGCAGGAAAAATTCAGAAAGTATATAAGAATACAATTTTTTTTTAAATTTCAAATTCTACCACATAGACATTAACCATGATTAACATTTACAAATATCCTCTCCGTAGATTTTCCATTCAATTTCACAAATTTTCCTAAACTGTATTAATAATTTTAAATATTAGAAATGTTAGCAGTATTTTTTCATAGAAAAAGTTACTTTCAGCAACTTTCTATGGATAAGGAATGTAGAAACTTAAGAATTGATTTCAATTATTTAGTTTTCTTAGAGAGTTAAACACAGCTTGCTAAAAGTAGGATCAGTATAAGTGTGTTAGTAGACTGGCCTCTCATTATTTTAGCTTCAGAAATAGGAAGATGTCAAGCATTCTTTGATAATAATATAATGGACTTCATCTGCTTTATTTTCTGTTATTTTGAAAAAAAAAATCCTGATTGTAACAACAACAGTTTGTTAGTACTGTCAAGTCATTGGGGCTTTCTTTGGTCATTCAGAGCTATTAATATGTTTTTATATGATGCCTTTTTAAGAAATGCTTATATCATAAGTGTATGTTTTCATGTGAAACAATTTTAATAGCTTAGGGCCAGGGTCTTGTTGCCTCTCTGTTCTCTTGTTCAAATGGCGATATTAATTCATCTGCTTTAGTGGCTGGGTGAGCAGTCAGAGCCCGAGTCTGAGGCTTAGCCGCTTTCCCCATCTGAGCTCCCATCACGCATGACTGAACTCTTGGGGCATGTCTAGCATACGAAATACAGCAGCTCCTCACAGTGTGGAAAAAGACCTGATTAAAAACAAATCTATTTAATTCCCCTCTGCAAATGGCTTTGCTTTCATGTCACCTTCCTGAATTATCTTTAATACACAAGTGAGGAAATTCACTTCACCATCCATTTATCATAGATAACTCACAACCTCCTTTTTGATCTTTTTCAGTGAGCATCCATTATTGTTAAGATAAATAACAAATCATCCGAGAATAACAGAGTGGGCTGTCTTTCTATTGAAAACATACAAAGATACATGCTAATGAAGAAAGTCTGCCCCCATAAATATTTGTAAAAAGAACAAAATGGAGAACAGCTTTCCCAGCTTTCCCTGATGCATTGCCAGCAAAAATGAAACGCACTGAGAAGATCAAACATTTGATTTGGGGCTGTGCAAAGGGCACGTACTTATCAGTTTTGTTATCACTAAGAGCTTTTGCAATAGAAAAGGTCAGAAAAGAATTTGTAAGGAACTGCATACTTCACAGGTAGCCACTGCACATTGATTTGAAATGGCTACAGGACCTGGCTGTAGTCATGAAAATGTTATGAGTTGATAATGCTGTGTTCCTAACTTCAAGTGTCGCCCACTTTTGATATTGATGTGAAATTAACTCTCAATTTAATTTTATTCATGATTTTTATATGGTGTGTAATTTCCAAACACTTTCACATACAAGTATATTATCTCATTTGTTATTTCTAACAATTTTATTGAGTAAACTATTTTATACTCATTTTGCAGAAAAGGAAATTGAGATTTGAATTGATTTGCCTATGCTGTATAACTGGTGATGAAATTGGAACTGTAATTTTTGACTATTAATCCATTACTCTCTAATGCTTCTCATTCATATCATCATCAGTGTTTTTTGGTAGCTCTCAAAATTCAAGATCAAGTAGTGTTTGTTATGCTAGAAAATCTGTAAGGAACATGGACATTACATTTAACTCAGAGATATTTATAGAATTGGGGAATATTTCTTTCTCAATCAATGCTCATTTTAACCCAGCATGTGAACTATTTTTCCTTCAAATTAATTTGATTAATTGAAATTAGAGAATTTTTTTTGGCACCATGGGAGCACATTAAAAATGTGAACAGAAAACAGTTGTGTTTAAATCATTAAATCTTATTTAGGTTGATGTCTGTTGACTTTTTGTAAACTGAGAATTCTCTTTTGAGAAGTTTATTTATATTTAAAAAGGAAAACACAATCAAGCTGGATGAAAGTGCTGGTTAAGATGCTCGTGTCCATATCGGAGTAACTGGGTTCCATCCCTCGCTCTGGCTATGGATTCCATCTTCCTGATAGTTCAGACCCTGGGAGGCAGAGGTGACGACTCCAGTCCTGAGTTCCTGCCTCGCACATGGGAAACCTCTGCTGAGCCCCTGCTCCTGGCTTCAGCCCTGGGCAATGCTCTCATCTGAAGAATAAACCAGCATATCACAGCTTTCTCTGTCTCTCAAATTTAAAAAAAGAAAAAAATTTTTTAAGAAAAACGAAATTAAAATAAATAATTCTTGCTCTTTTGGTGCCACTAATTCTGAAAACAGGTATTTTGATGAAACTAATACTTCAAGAAAACTGAATATGAAGTGCTATAAAATGATGTTTAATGGAATTATGCTTGCCTTCAAATTGTTAGGAGTGTGTCAGTTGTTTGATAATTTTCTGGTAATATGTATCTTTATTTGATATTTCCCTAAGGGTTTTAGGAAGAACTTTAAACGTTCCTTACCAATTTGTTAGTAATCTTCTACCACAGTGTCTCCTTTGCTACTCCCCTGATGGTGAGGGGCTTTAAAGTATTTGTAAACAACTTTACCCATCTCACACTGAATTAGCAAAATTAAGTGTCTGCTTCTTTTTATGGGAAAACAGCACTGCTGTACCAAAGCCTACAGGTAATCTAGAACTCACTTTTCTTTTTTCTTTTTAGCTGGCAAACATGATGCTTTTTATTTTCACTTAATGTCTATGGAGAAGTATAATAGAAGTATAATAAGTATATCTTTTTTAAGATTTATTTATTTATTATTTGAAAGTCAGAGTTACATAGAGAGAGGAGAGGCAGAGGTAGAGAGAGAGGTCTTCCATCTGCTGGTCCACTCCCCAGTTGGCCACAACGGCTGGAGCTGTGCCGATCCAGAAGCCTCCTCTGGGTCTCCTATGTGGGTTCAGGGCCCCCAAGGGCTTGGGCCATCTATACTGCTTTCCCAGGCCATATCAGAGAGCTGGATGGAAGTGGAGCAGCCGGGACACCAACTGGTACCTATATGGGATGCCGGCACTGCAGGTGGCAGTTTTACCCACTATGCCACAGCACTGGGCCCCAATTATTTATATATATATAAATTATATAAATATATATAAGATTTTAAATATTTAAGATTTAAATATGTATTTAAGATTTTATTTATTTATTTGTGAGGTAAAGTTACAGAAAGAGAAAGGGAGAGACAGAGAGAAAGGTCTTCTATCTGCTGGTTCACTCCCCAGATGGCTACAACTGCTGGAGCTGGGCCAATCTGAAGTCGGGAGCCAGGAGCTTCTTCCAGGTCTCCCACGTGGGTGCAGGGGCCCAAGCTCTTGGGCCATCTTCTACTGCTTTCCCAGGCCACAGTAGAGAGCTAGATCAGAAGAGGAGCATCTGGGACTTGAATGGGTGCCCCATGGGATGCCGGTGCTGCAGGTGGAGTCTCAGCCCACTATGTCACAGCAGCGGCCCCGCAGTAAGTAAGTAGATCTTAATTGGGTTTTATTTTGTTCTTATCTTTGTATTGCTGTGTAGATACAAAATGCCATATTTAGTCATCATTCTCTCTTGTGATGATTTTGCTTCTGAAAGACCTTTTTTTTTCCAACCTGTAAATTTTTTCTTCAACATGATTTTAGCTGAAGGCTGTAATCAAGGTGAGATATGCCTGTTACTTCTCTAACAGCAAGATACTGCTTTCCTGAATCTTTGTCTTTGTCAGTTGCCCTTTTTAAAGCAACTGGAGTGAGTGGCTCCTGTTCATCATGGTGGCACTTTGGTCTTTCCCAAGGGGTTTCAGCTAATTCAGGACCTATCTTTTTTTTTTTTTTTTTTTTTTTTTTTTTTTTGACAGGCAGAGTGGACAATGAGAGAGAGAGACAGAGAGAAAGGTCTTCCTTTTCCGTTGGTTCACCCCCCAATGGCTGCTGTGGCTGGTGCGCTGTGGCCGGCGCACTGTGGCCGGCGCACCACGCTGATCCGTAGCCAGGAGCCAGGTGCTTCTCCTGGTCTCCCATGCGGGTGCAGGGGCCCAAGCACTTGGGCCATCCTCCACTGCACTCCCGGGCTATAGCAGAGAGCTGGCCTGGAAGAGGGGCAACCGGGACAGAATCCGGCGCCCCGACCAGGATTAGAACCCAGTGTGCCAGTGCCGCAGGCGGAGGATTAGCCTATTGAGCCGCAGCGCCGGCCTCCTGTCTTGTTTTAAATGAGTAATTCACATTATACTTTAAAAAGTGCCTCAAACTGTGGGTGCTTGTATTGACATTCATGCTTCATGGAAAAATGCGTGTCAGTTCAGTGCTTACTAACTGCAGCCACATACAGTCCATGAGTTTAGCTAGTAGTGTGCTGGCCCAACTCTCCTGATGTGATACATGTGTAACAGAGACATGGCCAACTGTAGATGGCCAAGCCTACAACTTCTTTTTTAAAGATTTAAAAAATTTTATTTGAAAATCAGTTACAGAGAAAGAGAGACAGAGGCAGACAGAGAGATATCTTCCATCTGCTTGTTAACTCCCCAGATGGCCAGAGTTGGGCCAGGCTGAAACCAGGAGCCAGGAGCCTCCTGTGGGTCTCCCATGTGGGTGCAGGGGCCCAAGCACTTGGGTTGTCTGCTGCTGCTGCTTTCCCAGGCACATTAACAGGGAGCTGGATCAGAAGTGGAGCAGCTGGGGCTGGAACTGGTACCCACATGGATGCTGGTCTTGTAGGCGGTGGCCTAACCTGCTGCGCCACAATTCCAGCCCCTCCAATCCTACATCTTAATGGAGGTTGATTAGCTTTTTTTTATTTTATTTTAAACTTTAAACTTGTTTGAAACCTGCCCAGTGCTATATATCAGACTATAGCACTCTGAGGCCGGCTTCAGTATCACTTTTCCTGCTTGTATGACCACCACCAGCAGCATTCTGGGGACGGGAGGGCTGATTTGCTTTCACTTTCACTGAGGAATCCATCCTTCATGTTTGCAAAAACAAAAATTTCCATTTAGTTTTGAGTGATTTGCACGAAGACAAGATCAACCTCTATGCTGACACTACATAACTATATTATGAATGAGCGCCACTATTTTTGTTTACAAGTAACAGTGCATTTCCTGTCTCCACCTTCTTTGGCTTCAGTTATTGCTATTAATTTAAGTTCTTAAAAAGGGAAAAAGTGGAGCACTGAAATAGAAAATGTAAAATAAGCCAGGGAAGTAGCAGAGAAATCAAATTACCTTGCTCAGAATCCGGGCATTTTAGGAGTAACTTGTCTAAAATCAGTTTAATGGAAAAATATCAGCCAAGGTGGTGAAAATTGGTCACCATGTCTATAGGCCTCCTGGGTCTGCTGAGAAAGGAAGAGAGGAGAGAGCCTTTCAGTTGGTTAGAGCCACTGAGATCAGGTTTGTTAAAGTACAGTGTCGACCGTCAAACCAAACAGAAGTTTTAGGTTTTATATTCTCCTGACTCCATCATTAGGAAACTTGGACCCAAGTGAGGAAACCAGTAAAAACAACTTGGCACTTTACCATTCGTGGCCAAAAGCCAGAGACCCCAGATATCAGTGCCATTGGTTATGGTGACAGATTTTCCAATTCAGAGTTCTGTAGTGTGACAATGTGTTGGCTGGTGTTTAGGGTGATAATGAGAGCACGCATCTAAAACGTAGCCTGAACCCCAGGCACCACATCCCTGCTAGTATTATTTTCTAGGATTCATTTATTTGAAAGGCAGAGTTACAGAGAGGGGAAGCGGTGGTGATCTCCTTTGGCTGATTTACTCCCTAAATGGCCTCATGGCCAGGGCTGGGCCAGCTCAGGAGTCTGGAGCTTCATCAGGGTCTCCCACTGGGGTGGCAGGGGCCCACGCATCTGGGCCATCTTTCACTGCTTTCCCAGGCGCATTAGCAGGGAGCTGGACGGGAAGCGGAGCAGCCAGGGGCGTCCCAGCGACTTAACCCAATGCACCACCCGACAGCCCCCTCTGATTTCTAAGGATGAGAAATGGAGAAGGAAATCTGAGTTGCAGACGGCTCGTGCCTCCGTTTTTCTGCCCTCAGTACAACTGCCTTAACTTCGTGGGTTTTCTTGGCTAAGGAGGCTCGCCTTCATCTAAAAACTCGACTTCAGCTTCCAGAAGCCCCCGGCCTGCGAGGGCTGCAGGTCCAATCCTTTCTTATGCATCAATAAGGAATTAGGGTGACCCCTCTGAGGGGGAACAGTTTGAGGGCGCCTGTCGGTTCCAGTCCTTGTGTGCCATAACGACGATCAAGAGCATCTTGCAAAAGATCCTATACACAAAAGTTGTGTAATGCTACAAGCCACTCTTCTTGGGAGCCGTGAGAAGGGCGGCCTTGTTCCGACTACCTGCCCCAGCAGGGCCCGCAAAGGCCAGATTCCAACCCCTCTCCTCTGTCTGCCCCCCTAGCTCTGTGCCTGGGACCCCAGCCCCGGCCGCTGCGCGCCACGCCGGGCACCCGACCGAGCGCCGGGCGGCGGCGGCCCCGCCCCGCGGCGGCTCCGCGCCTGCGCACGGGGCCCAGCGCGAGCGTTCCTGCCCGGCCCACGTTCCTCCCGCCCCGCCCGGCCCGCGCGCCTGCGCGCCGGCTGGGAGGAACGCGGTGTCGCGGCCTCGCGGGTGGGCGGACGCGCGCGCGCCCGCGGCGAGGGGGAGGCGGCCAGGCGGCGGGAGGCGGGCCGCGCGCGCCGGTGGGAAGCGTCCGGCTGCCACAGCGCCAGCTCCGTCGTAGTCGCTGCCGCCCGGGTCCCGCTCGCCCCTCCTCCCGCTCCCCCCGCCCGCCGCCGCCCGGGCGCATGCGCCGCCGGAGCGCGAGGGTCGGCTTCGGGTGTGTGGTGGCGGCAGAGCGGAGCTGCGAGGCCCGAGAGTCAGAACCTGGGGGAGAGGGATGGTCTCTGCACGGGGGGGAGCCGGAGGAGCCGCCGCCGCTGCCGACGCCACCGCCGCAGCCGCCGCCGCCGCCGCCCCGGCGCCCGCCTCCCGGCGCTGACGGTCTCGTACGAAGCCGGCGAGGGGGAGCCAGCAGCGGCGGTCGCCGGCACGCCGCCCAGCATGGTCCGGGAAACCAGGCACCTCTGGGTGGGCAACTTACCGGAGAACGTGCGGGAAGAGAAGATCATCGAGCATTTCAAACGGTGAGTGACACGAGGCCCCCGGGCCGCGCTCGCTCGGCGGGCGCCGCTCCCAGCCCCGGCCCGTTGCCGGCCCCTCCCGGTGCGCGGGGTAGCCGAGGAGCGGCCCCGGCCCCAGACCCGCGGAGCGGCGGCGGCGCTCGCGCGGGCCGACCCCGCCGGCCGCTCGCCCGTCCGCGTCGCGGCGCTGGGCCTCGGACGCCGGCGGCGCCCGGGGAGGAGGCTGCGGGGCCCGGCCTCCGCGCCGCCGGCGGCCCGAGGGTGCCCTCGGCGGGGGCGCGTCCCTGCGCCCGGGCCCCGGGCCCGCCGGGCGGCCGCCGCTCGTGTAGACCGCGGGCGGGCAGCGCGGGGACCGCTCGCGGCGCCCTGGCGGGCCGGGCCGCCGGCGCCGTCTCCCTGATGTCGAGAATCAGGTGGCGGGGAGAGCCGAGCGTGGCGCCACGCCGGGATGTCGGCTCTCCCCGGCTCCCCGCGCGCGGGCGCGGGTGCGGGTGCAGCCGCCGGGTCTCTTTGTGCAGCGCCTGCGTGCGGGGCTGACAGGCCCGGGGCGGCCCGCAGTGTGCGCCTCCGGCCGTGCAGCGAGTCGGGGAGCTTACGGGGCGTCCCTATTAGTGAGTCAGCCTGGGAAAAGTGGGCCGAGCCGCTCCGCGGGCGACACGGAAGCAGCGGCCGCAGAGCGCCGCCGCCTCGTCCGTGGAGGAGCCCTGCTGCTGTCGGTGGCTGCTGTTACTGGGCATTAAATCCTCGCCGCTGGGGCGCGCGTGTGCGCGTGTCCGCGTGTGAAAAGGCGCCGGCGATGGTGAGGCCATTGAGGAGCGGGCGGCGCGCGCCTCCCGGCTGCCCCGCGTCTGCGGCGCCGGGCGCGGGCGAGGCTCCGCGCGGCCCTGGGAAGCGGATGGGAACTTTTTCTGGCTGGCGCTGCTCCACCCCTTACCCGCCCCCCAGCCCTCCCCTCCCCTCGTCAGTGTTTTGGTGGAAAAAGCATTCCGGGGCAGGTTCCCGCAGTGGGAAGACCGGCGGGACGCGCTCGGCTCCGTGTGCTCGCGCGCTCGGTCGGGGCGTCGCTGCATGGGAAATTCGCAGGCTGCGACGCGCAGACACGTGCGCTGCAGCAGCGGGCCCTCCGCCCGCGGCCAGACGTGCCACTTGGCGTGATGCAGATGCGAGGGACGGGGTGCGCTTCTGCCCGGCAACTGGACGCTGCTGCCCGAGGAGGGTGCAGGGACGGAGGGGGGGAGCCTCCGAGGCAGGGCCGGAGGTTTGAGGTGGACGGTGCTGCGGTCCGGCTCGTGTGAATGACTCTAAAATGGCGGCCAGGACCCACTTTCTGTGGGAATCGGCGGAGCCGATCTCCATGCACCGGGGAGGAGGGGGCGCCCTGGAAAGCGAGCGGCGGTCTGCAGCGGCGGCGTCGTAGGGCTCGGCGGGCGCGCTGCTCGCGGCGGCACTACGGAGAGTCTGCCTCTGGCAGAGCGAAAGCAGATGCTGGGGTCGGGTCGTGTGTCCCCGCATCCCCTTTAATTTAAAGGCGACTCTCTTTTCCATTTCTAAGCATTTTTTTTTAGTCCATTGAATAGTTGTTTTTTTTTTTAAACGGGCTTAAAGACTCAACGTACACCGGAGAAGAGTCTCACCTTCACCCATACCCTGCGATTCCTTAGCACTCCCCCCAACCGATCTCTCTTTGGTTTCTTGTTTATCTTTCTGCATGTGCAAGAGATGTTCTTGCTGATCCAGCTATGAAGCTAAGTGGACCTTGTTTGGAGGAATTCAGACCTTCCATCCCTATTGTGAAATACGTTTTGTAAAATGCGTGATTGCTACTGGAAGGGAAAACTAAATTGGTCATTTAAATGATAAAGAAAAAACAGCAGTTATCAGAATAATGGTTCTGCAAGATACTTAACATTCACCTCTAGTGTCTTCAAGAAATCAGAATGAGAAAGCATGCAATACCTACATGGAAACAAGTTTAAGTGTCTGCTTTTACCCTTCTCCCTAGCTGATTGCAGCATTAACTAATAACTGTTTTACAGGATTAGGAGGTGTACACTGGGAATACATAATATAAAATGTATTTAAGGTGAATGTTCTTTTAACAGTGATTAGGCTTTTGTAGTTATTTGGATTTTTAAAGAAGACTAAGCTAGACAGCTGTGGGGGCAGGGCAGCTTAGAGACATTTTAAGGGGAGAAATAAAGGCGGGTCAGTATTTTTAATTTATATTTTAATCAGTGTTTCAGGTGGACAATAGATTGAGGGAGGGATGCTGATTGGGCTTTTTTCTTCTCAGTGCCAGAAAAAACCAAATCCTAAAAATGTAATGAGAGCATTTTTAGAAATTGACTGCAATAACAGTCTATTGTGTTCATTGTCTTTACTGGTTTCAGTATGTTGATTAAAATAAATTAAACAAGGATTAGTTCTGAATCTGTGTTTTAGTTAACAAAGATTCATTACAGGGGCACAATAGAGAAAGTCCTTTCCTTTGTATGTTAGCAGGGTTGAAGGGGGAAGGGAGGAGTTACACAACAATTGGTTGCTGTCTTTTGGCTGTGAGAGAGGTGTGTGCAAAGGCAGCTCCTTGAATTAGAATGACCCAATGAATAGAACCCTTGAAAGATGTTACACCTTATTTTCTTTATGCCTTACTTTCAAATTTTTAGTAACATTATGTTCTTCCTAGCCACCCCTCAGTTTTAGAAACTAAAGATTATGCATTGATTGAGCAATGTAACCCCTTATGTAAACATTTTGTTAAAGAATGAGACCTAAAATTTTGCTTTTGCTAATTAAAAGAAAATTTAGAGCTTTATTTGTTTATTTCAAAGTCAGAGTTATAGAGAGAGGGAGAGACAGAGAGAGATCTTCCATCCTCTGGTTCTCTTTCCAAATTGCCGCAATAGCCAAGGCTGGGCCTGGCCAGAGCCAGGAGCTGCTTCCAGGTCTTCCATGTGAGTAGCAGGGGCCCAAGAACTTGGGCTGTCTTCTGCTGCTTTCCCAGGCCATAAGCAGGGAGCTGGATCAGAAGCAGAGCAGTTGGGTTTTAAACTGGTGTCCATAAGGGATGCCGGCATTGGCAGAGGGCAATGGCTTTACCCATATCGCCACAATGCCAGCACCATTTAAAATGTTTTTAACAGTGGTTTTCCTGAGTTTTAAGTAGGTGGAATAAATGTTACGTGTTGCGTATATTCAGATCCTCACTTCTGGGATACTAGATAAATTAATATTGATGAATTTCCTTGTCCTTATTTTATTATAAAAAAAGATGGGGGTCAGCACTGTGGTGTAGTGGGTAAAGCCACTGCCTGCAGTGCCAGCATCCCATATAGGTGCCGGTTCGAGTCCTGGCTGCTCCACTTCCGATCCAGCTCTCTGCTATGGCCTGGGAAAGCAGTGGAAGATGGCCCAAGTCCTTGGGCCCCTGCACCCACGTGGAGGACCTGGAAGAAGCTCCTGGCTCCTGGCTTCAGATCAGCACAGCTCCAGCCTTTGAGGCCAACGGGGGAGTTGGAAGACCTCTCTCTCTCTCTCTCTCTCCCCACCTCTCCTCCTCTCTGTGTAACTCTGATTTTCAAATAAATAAATGAATCTTTAAAAAAATAATTTTGACTTAAATTTCAATCATTGTGGCATACTGCATTGCTTCATTGTTCTATTTAGACCTGAGGGTTTCTATGGAACGGCCTCTTGATTTTGAATATCCTGGTTTTGAATATCTATTTTCATGATAGGTTTTGCATATTAAAATTAAAGCAAAATTCATAGTTATCCTGAAATAGCACTAAAAGTTAATACAGAATGCTTAAATTGTGTATTTTATTTTCTGAAAAGGATGCTTTTAGTGGGTTGGAAGAAAATGCAGGGTCAGCACAGGGAAGAATGATGGTGTTTGACTGGAGTGGGCATTTTTGTTGTTTCTTCCTAATTTTTTGTTTGCTTATTTGAAAGTCAGAGAGAGACTTCTAATTGCTGATTCATTCCCTAAATTCCTGCAACAGCCAGGGTGGGACCAGGTCAAAGGCAGGAGCGGGGAACTCACTCTGGGTTTCTCACATGGGTAGCAGGAACCCAGTCACTTGCGCTGTCACCAGTTTTCTATGGTCTGCATTAGTAGGAAGCTGGAATTAGGAGAGGAGCTGGGTATCAAACCCAGACTTTCCATTATGGGACATGGGCATCTCAACTACTAGGCTAAGTGCTTGCCCTATAAAATATTTATTTTTGAAATCCATGCATATAAAGGTTTTAAAAAAAGTTCATGGACAATGTGTATTACGCAAAAGTATTTCAAAAAAGTTTTTGCAACAAAAAACTTTTGAGTTTCCATACACTAAAACCCAACTGTATTTCACAAAAATTATGTGGCTTCTAATAAGACAAATAATAGGTTCTTAAGTAGCCTAAACAGTGTCTAACATGAAGATATACATATCCCTGCAGTTTGTTGCTGAACTAAAACTCTTATGCCGGGTGTGTAGGGTAAGAAGTAATGTCTTCCAGAGTGCTTGTTAGGGCACAGAGGGATCGTAGCTGTCCCCAGTTCAGATCCAGCTTTCTGTGTGGTGGGCAGCAGCACTTGATGGTTTCTGCCGCCCACGTGGGAGACTGGGGTGGAGCGCCTGGCTTTGGCCTGGCCCAGCCCCAGCCGTTGCAGGCATTTGGGGAGTGAACCAGCAGATAAAAGATCCCCTGTCACTTTGCCTTTCAAAAAAATAAAAGTTTCCCATTTGATTTTTCCCCAAAATGTTCCTTAACTGTAAGGAATTCTTGAACTGTAACCACTCTAATTAGTTTTCACAGTGCACTATGCTGTTTTCCCTTAAAATGTGAGTTGCTATAAGGCAAATAAAAATAGTATTTTTACATAGACACAACTGATATATAAAGATGGTTGGAAATTTACAGATAAGTGTTACTTCATTTAGTCTGTTGTTCAGCAGGCTAATACTATCTATTTCAAGGTGCCGAATAACATTTGGATTATCTAGTAACAAAATTTGTCATATACTTTGCAGTGAAAAGATGTTCTTGATGTAAAATTCTAAAGTATTCCAATATTCAGTTTCAGATTATTCCCCCTATGTGTGTCCCTGTCTGCCAAATTGAAAATTAACATACATTAAAAAAACAGTAGAATGGCTTTATAAAATCTCCATTTAAAAGGTGAACGTTTGTCCTGGTGGTTCATTGCTTGTATCCCACATAGGAGTACCTATGTTTGACACCTAACTCAAGGTTTCTGCCAGTGCAGGCTCTGGGAGGCAGTGTTGATGATTCAAGTGGGTGGATTCCTGCAACCCACATAGCAGACTTGGATTGAGTTTACAACTCTTGGTTTCTGCCCCGCCCAGTCCTGAACACTGTGGGCATTTGGGAGGTGAACCTAACTTGGGTGACTTTTTGAAAGAATTACATACAATTTGATTGTAGAAATGAATTCGACTCTAGCATATTTATTTAGTTTTAGATTTACTTATTATTTATTTGGAAGGCGGAATGACAGGGAGACACACAGAGATCTTCCATTTGCTGTTTCACTCCCTAAATGCTGCAATAACCAGGGTTACACCCAGGTAAAAGCCAGGAACTGGGAGTTCCTGCATTGCTGTTCGTTCTGTAGTACTCCCAGTTAGGAAACATTTAAAAAAAGATTTATTTATGGCCGGCGCCGCGGCTCATTAGGCTAATCCTCCGCCTTGCGGCGCCGGCACACCGGGTTCTAGTCCCGGTGGGGGCGCCGGATTCTGTCCCGGTTGCCCCTCTTCCAGGCCAGCTCTCTGCTGTGGCCCGGGAGTGCAGTGGAGGATGGCCCAAGTCCTTGGGCCCTGCACCCTATGGGAGACCAAGAGGAAGTACCTGGCTCCCTCCATTCGGTAACCCGGTGCGCTGGCCGCAGTGGCCATTGGAGGGTAAACCAACGGCAAAGGAAGACCTTTCTCTCTGTCTCTCTCTTACTGTCCACTCTGCCTGTCAAAAAAAAAATTTTATTTTATTTTACTTGAAAGAGTTACATAGAGAAGGAGAGGCAGAGAGAGAGGTCTTCATTCCGCCGGTTCACTCCCCAATTGGCCGCAGTGGTCGGAGCTGCGCCAGTCCGGAGCCAGGAGCTTCTTCTGGGTCTCCCACGCGGGTACAGGGGCCCAAGGACTTGGGCCATCTTCTACTGCTTTCCCAGGCCATAGCAGAGAGCTGGATCGGAAGTGGAGCAGCCAGGATCTGAACTGGTGCCCATATGGGATGCCAGCACCTCAGGCAGCGGCTTTACCTGCTACTGCCACAGTGCTGCCCCCCAATTAGGAAATATTGACACAGCCTTCCCACCCCAGTTCACAGACCTCACTTCAGTGGTGCCAGCTGTCACAGGTCTCCTTTGCTGGCCCAGCGTCCCACTCAGTGCTACTTGATGCCTGCAGTAGTCATGAGTCCTCAGTCTCCTTCCATCTGCAGCAGTTTTCTGTCTTGCAATTCTCATGAGCCTGAGAGTTTTCAGTGTAAGTGTGTCTTTCTTCAGGATGATCTTCCACCCGAGGCTGTCTGGTACTGCCTAATGGCAGATCAGGGATTCCACAGAGCTGATGCTGTGCCCTTCTCAGAGTATACCAGGAGACGGACCGTATCCATCATTTCCCTATTTGATGAGTGTTTAGTGGGGAGATTTTCTGATATTATGCTGATAGTATCTGCTTATGAGGCCGACACCTTCATCCTTAGCACCTGTTGATAACATACCACTGTGATTGCTGCCAGATGGTGATTCTTACTGTGATTCCTCCTACATTTATTCTACATAGGCAAGAACTAACTAATTTCCTTTGAGTCATTTTCCCTGTTTTTCCTCCCTTTGGGACTTAATCCTGTGCTTATTTATTTTGATATTAAAATCATCCTAGACTTGACTGGTGGGAACTCTTTAAACCAACTCTCTGTGGTATCTTCCCATCATTTTGGATATTTCTTCATTCCTGGCACAACAGAAGCTCTTTTTGTATTTTACTTGTCCCAGTCCTGAAATCAGTCATTTCTCCAAGAAACCCTGGTTTGTTTAGTGTGGGTGTCATGAGCAGATCCTGTTTATAAGAAGTAGGTCCTTTGTATGAATTGTATCTTTCCACAGTGTCGAGCTTTCTTAATGAATCACGTTAATTTAGCTGTGAGCTTTGTGGGCTTCACTGGATATGCAGTCACTTCAGGTGCTCTCCATTTCATTCATTAGTGATGGGGTCGAATTGGTAAGCGATGTGATGTCATAGCGGTCTCTAGTATACATCAGCCATATACTTTTTTTTTTTTTAAGATTTATTTACTTATTTGAAAGGCAAGGGTGAGAGAGAGAGAGAGAGAGAGAGAGAGAGAGAGAGAGAGATCGTCCATCCACTAGTTCACTCCCCAAATGGCTGCAATGGCCAGTGCTGAGCCCAGGCCAAAGCCAGGAGTCTGGAATTCCATCCAGGTCTCTTACTTGGTGTCAGGGGCCAAGTACTTGGGCCACCTTCCAGTGCTTACCCAGGCACCTTAGCAGGGAGCCGGATTGGGAGTGAAGCAGCTGGAACTATAACTGGTGCTTGTATGGGATGCTGGTATTGTAGGTGTTGGTCCAGCCTGCTGTGCCACAGCGATGGCCTCCATATATTAACTAATATGTGTGTCATGTTATTTAACACATATAGTAAGAAAGAAGAAAATAAGGTTAATGAACAGGTAAGTCCAAGAGAGACAGAGTATGTCTTTGGAGAGTTTCAGACATTGATCCTCCCCTTGCAAGGAAGTTAGCAATGAGTCAGTCAGAGCCTTTGGTGAATTCCCTGGGTGTCCATAGTAGCAGATTTCACAGACTATCTTAAATTCTGATTGATAGTCCCATTTCTCTTCGGGAGGCCCAGTTTTTCTTTTATTCCCCCCCCCCCCCCCCCCCCGGTCTCTGTCTCTTTCTTTCTCAGATCTGCCTTCTGTTGCTTCACTCTCCTCTCCAAATACCCCCAACAGCCAGGGACTGGACCAGGTTGAAGCCTGAATCTAGAAACTCCATCCAGGTCTCCCACATGAGTAGCAGGGGCCCACGTACTTGAGCCATCACTGCTGCCTCCCTTGGCACACATTAGCAGATAGCTGGAATCAGGAGCAGACCTGGTACTTGACCAAGGCATTTGGTTAAGGGATGTAGGCGTCACACAGATCAGTCCTTCATCGTCTAGATCCAAGGTGTGATTGGTTATGCTTTAGTTTTCATTAGTTGTGTTCTTGGATGTGGTTTGATTGTGCTCTCCTGGGTGTTGGTAAACATGTTTTAAATTTTGTTTGAATTTTGTGGTGCTTCTGATCCAGCTCCCTGCTGATGCTCTTGGGAAAGCAGCAGAAGATGGCCCAAATGCTTGGACCCTTGTATCCATTTGGGAGACCCAGGTGAAGCTCCTAGGTCTCAGTCATGGCCCAGTCATAGCCATGGCAGCCATTTGAGGGGTGAACCAGTGGATCAAAGACATCACTTTCTATCTTTGCACACACACCTTCCCTCCCCACCTTTTAACTCTGCCTATCAAATAAAGTAAATCATTAAAAAAATTTTGTCTTAAATACTTCAAAATTCTGTGTCAACATGGAGCCAA